CGAGGTAACATAATTCCAGATCAATTACACATGGGTATTATAACAAGCCCTACGAAAAAAAAAAAAAATATATATATACATGTAAAACCGTTTGCAATCAGTGAGTCATTAACTATCCATTGGCGATCGTCTAATGCGCATAGGTACGCGAAAACAAACTCGAAGGTCGGTACAAAAAAAAAGTTCTTTATTTTGAATAGCGCCAAAAAGCGCCCATAATACGCATCGACTTTTCGTTACTTTTTTTGCCGAAACTTTCAGACTCAGACGACAAAAAAAAAAAAAAAGAAAAGAAAAAAAAAAAGTTCCACCGGGGCTTTGACGCCTTGGAGAGCAAATTACAGTTAAATTTAGGCTCGTACCTGCGCACGGAGACGGACACGGCCAGACGCACGAAAAACACAATTATTCCGAGCCCACTTCTGTTACGCGTACCACGCCGCGTGTATAATTTACACGCTGTGGATAATAATATACCGTTTGTCATTGAGAGTAGGCGCAAAAAGCGCTTTTTTCGGTCGTCGGTCATTTTTCTTTTTTTTTTTTCTTTTAGAAAGTTGGGGCACGTCGGTGTCGATGCTATTGGAGGAGCGCTAAACCGCGAACCGCTGGGATAGTCGCTTAATGCCACACACTGTTACCTTCCATCCGACCATCGATCGCGTTATTCATCTGGTCACGATTAAGGAGGTTCGGGAAAAAAGTTCAAAATGTATAGAATCGCACCAACAAAAAAATGTACTATGTTATGTTTGAGCATATCAGGAGTGGACATGAATTATTTCAGATTTTTTACCAAAAGAAATTTTCGAGAAAAACATTAAAAATTGATTGTTTTACATGGTCCCTACTTATGAGAGAGCAAGTTTCGGTTGCATTTTGACTGAAATTAGGATACGTTATAAATGTGTTAGAATAAAAAAAAAAAAAAAAACGTTTTCATAGATAACTTGGTACAAAAGGAAGATACTCGACAGAACAAAAGCCAGTCTTGCCAGGCACTTTTAAAAATAAATTTAATTACATAGACTCCCTGTTCCTCGCCTCTCCAAATGATACTCCCAAACCAATACAATAATCACCATAATAGATGATGGTCAGCGATGGAGACACTCCATGCAAGAGAGAGAGAGAGACAGAGTTCGGGGGTGCACTGTACATGTATTGGTACACTCGTGATTATCGCTTATAGGCGAGAGATAACGACGCGTATTAGTAGGGCAGACGTTATGTCAGACGTGGAATATGGAGCTGGTCTCGCTGCCGTTGGTAGTGTTACGCAAGCTTTCATTGAATAACGTTCCGGACGTAGGTTGAGCAAACACTGGTAAAGCGTCCGGTGTGTTATATGGCATTAGGAGATCTAAAGTGGTGGAGGTTCGTGAGCTTATGCGGACGATTGAATTAGGGAGCGGAGGAGAACTTTCGAAGAGCTTCTTGTTATTTTTTTTACGATATGGATTAATCTGTCATCGATGTGATGTGAAGTGCGAGTGAAATCGTAAAAAAATCATCGGCTCGATTAATGGAATTATCTTGATTAGGCGAATTGCTCTGTACACGTTGGATTCAATTGGAATTTTGACCTTTTGTTCTTGTCCAATAATTGACAAAGCCACGCGTGAGCTGCATTTTCATGTGTTTCACTGCGAAAAAACCTTTTTGAGAATAAATATTTAAAAATATGGTGAACGTCTCGAGATAAGGCGAGCGAGAAAAACTTAATTATACACTGACGTAAAAAGGGGAGAGAAGAAAAAAAATTCATTATCGTAACCAGTTGGATGATATAAAAATTCTACTTTTAGCGTCGCGCAAAGATAATGCAGAATAATTTATACGCCTCGGAGTCCACATTTTTCTTTTTATCGACGTAGACTGGCGAATCTTAAATGCGATATTTTAGAATCATGATTTTGGGTGAAAGTGACCCATATGCACGTCCCAATGCGTCCCCATATGCGTGAATAATGTTTATACAAATAAGAGTTTATTGATGCCTTTATTTTGCAAATGGAATCGGACGAACCGATAAGTAGGTCGTCAGTCCCTACCTGAGAAAATGGAGAATTCAATTTTGCGTGTTTATTATACCCTGCATGTAAATGCCCAAAAAACGTACCGACGTCCGATGACTTCACCATATTTTTCAGCTAACCTATTTTTTGTTTTCTCGTCATTTTTAAATTCGTCATTCATGATAATTATGACTTGTATCAATACTGTTAACAATAAACCTTTTGCTGTTACGTCTCAGTCGAAAACACTTGGCTACAAACTCGTGAATTGACCCATCCCTTGCCAACCGAGATTATGAGTCCGCGCTAAATTCTTACCTATGTAAACTCATGTCAAAAAATTGCGAGGAAAATAATATCACGTATGCACTACCGAAAATAGTAGTTTTCCTACGAGTTTGAAAAGTCTCTGTTTGCGAACCGAGAGGTTTGCGGCCCGAGCCGAAGGCGAGGGACGTAACGAGGTTCGTAAAGGAGACTTTTCGAACGAGTATCGGAAAACTGCTTTTTCGCTCGAGGAAGTACCAGCCTCCCAAAACCACCCGAGGGCGGAAAAAAGCATTTTTCACGGAGCCGTGTACATACGCTCTCAAAAGCTTGAGATACACACCAAAGTTGCTCGAAATAATGTATTCCTATATCCAAAGACATTATCGTGTTATACGCACACTTTGAATAATAGGTAAAAAAAAGGGACGTGATCTGACAAACGAACAAAACGAGAGGCACCAAAGCAAGAGTCGATTTTCGAAATGGAGCAAAAACAAAGACGACCATTGGTATAGACACACATACGACAACAATGCGCCACTACTGAGGCTCTGATCACAGTTTTTTGTGGCAGTTTTTTTTTTTTTTTTTTTTTAAAGCGAATCTAATTATCTTATTTTCCACTCCTCCTCCTCCTCCTCCTCCTCCTCCTTGACGACTCTCGGCGCAAAACGAGGACACAAACCCACACGCGCGCGCTCACGTGTATACACAAGAAGAGATAATAATAAAAAAAAGCGGGCTCCTCCGCTCGTCTTTTTTCCGAGCTTTCTCGCGTATTATGCGCGCATGTATGAATGTACACCCGCGTGTATGTATATATACGTACCGAGACGACGGAAACGAGCGAACGATCGCTCACCGACATCGGACGCGCGGCATGAATATTTATTTATTTCGGATGACGGCGGCTTCGCGTATCCCTCCCCTACACTCTCTCCGCGTGTGCGTACATATAATATTATGCTCTCCGCCAAAATTGTCGATCTGTGGGCGCACACATTTTTTTTCTTCTCTTCGCGTTATTGCGTAAAAAACGACGGCGGTACAGTACTTATACTTGTCGTGTAACGGTATACCCATAGACAGTTTGTGTATAGTCCAATAAATAATGGGTCTATATAGGGTATTTCACACGTAAGAGATTTGCGTGCTCGCAGGACATTGAGAAGTAACGAAAAAAAAAGGGAGGCTGCGCGCGAGTGTGTTGTAGAGTCGACAATGGACTGTAAAAAAAAAAAAAAGTTGTAATTCTCGAACGAGTATATGGACCTACCGCAAAAGGATAGAGCGAGGATTGCATTTATTTGTTTGCTTTCTTTTTTTTTTCCTCGAAATCCGGTTTTAAAAAGCCTCGCTTCTCGTGCGTATGGATATATGAAGAAAAGCGCGGCGCGTCCGAAAAGTTTTGATAAACGACAGGCCGATAATATTATTTTAACTCCTTCGACTTGCCAGCGGGTCGAGCAACCGCACCACACCGGCGTGCGTCTAATTTTAGATGCTTTTTCGAAAACCCACACACGCTAAGGACGATGTTATCACGCGGTGGTCGTGCAATTGTAGACCCACGTTTTGGAAATGATTGCGCGCCCATCCGCCGATGGAAAAAAACCAGCTTATCGCGAAAACTCCGTCACTGCGCTGGAATTTCAAAAATTGAAACGCCAAAGCGTATATAAATATATATGTATGCTCGCTTTATCGGTAAAGGAAAGGCGTACAAACAAACGCATCGGAGAGATTGATAGCGCGCGAATGGAGAGACGATACTTGCTTTCGGGTTAAATCACCGGCAACGAAAATAATTCATTTTTCTCGATGCAGCTCCCCCCCCCTCTTTTTTATTCTTCCGATATACAGAATCGCTGAGGTGACGTTGTCGTTGTAAAATATGGGTACCCGTCATCTGTTCTAAAACAAGAGCCGTTGTAATGAAAAATTGCGGCAATCAGGATTAATCTGAGGCTAATCACTTTTGTGCGCTTTGGTAAACAAATTGCCTCATTATATCTCGCCTTTCGAGTGAGATATATCACACACATGCACACAAGTGCTCGCGCGAGTACGAAAAAAAAAAAAAAAAAAAAAAATTACATTACGTATATGTACGGACGTACAAAAAATAGGAGAAGAAGAAAAAAAATTATCGCCGTCAACGACGTTTGAATGTCACGATTTAAATTTTAAATTTTCGCCTTCTCGAACGGCTATGCGACTCATTAATCATTCGATCAGCCCGTCACATTTCTCTCTTTTTTTACTTATTTGTTTTTTTTTTTTTTTTTTGTTTAATACCGAAAAAAAGAAAGGCAGATTATAAAAATACCGCCTTATCTCGCGGGCATCGATAAAATACCGCAGCAGCAAAACTCTCGCTGTTGAAATTCGCAAATCGCGCGTATACGCCCAACACACGCTCAAACGCGTATATTTTTCGTTTCTTTTTTATTTTACTTTTTTTTTCCTCACCCCTATCTCTCTCTCTCTCTCTCTTCGTCTCATCATCGCACATAAATGGCTCACGAATGTGTATAGGTACTACGTGCCAAGCCACATATAGGTTTGCACAACTTGTTTACACTGTGTCACGATAACGCAAAACAGGTTATTCCTCCTCCTCCTCTGTCGCGAATTTCATTCTTTTTTTGCATCGCCAATATGTGGACAAAACATTTCCAAATTTCATCGCAATTGGACAAATGTATGTACCTCGATAAGAGTCTCTCCTCGGCCTTATCCTCGAAGGAGCAGCGACGCATCAGCCTCCCCGGCTCGTCGTCCTCATGAAAGTTGTCCGGGAAAATCCAAAAAAACTCCCGCGCACAACCAATCGAAAACCGCACGATTGCAACGAAAGGATAAAATCAAAAGAAAAAAAAAAGAAAAAAAAAAAAAAGAGAAAATAGAAAAAGTGCCACAAAACTCAACCCCCGCACTACGTTACACCGGCGGGCATCGACGCTCGTTTGTCTTACAAGCTCGCGCACTGGTGCACCAAGGCTATAATATGGCCCAAGTAAGTAAGTATACTGCGCTCAAAAACGAAATCTCTCTCTCGTCTCCTCGGCGCTGCCTGCATATCCATATAGGTACTATTAATGTGTGTGTTCCCGATGATGCGTACGTATATTATGTTGTATCTTGTATCTCCACTCACACGTACATGTATTTATATGTGCACAATCTTCTTCTTCTTCTTGTGCTTCCTCCGTGGCCAGCCCCCACTTTTTCCGTCACTCCCGAATCAACAGCTCTCGTGTTTGGCGCGATACGTGCACACGTATATTTTATACATGCCCCTTACCTCGTCTCGCCCAGCGAGTGAATCGGGGGCAGCGCGTATACGCGTATGTATACAATTAGCGAGTGTCTCCCTTTGACGTGAACTCGACCCCGCGAGCTTTTCTCCGTTTGAAAGCGGCGCGCCGAGAGAGCGACGCCTACACACAGCGCGGAGGAGCTTGCGGGCCGCCGCGCACGTGGAACAAACTTTTTTTTTCCCTCCCCGTCCACCACCACCACCACCGCCGACGAATACACTTTGCCCCGCGTCAGCTGTCCTCCCCTTTGATGGCCAGCCTCGGCAATGCGTTCATAACACCCAGCACTGTTTCCCTCCCTATCATCGGGCACCACTGCTCTCACCCGAAACTCCGGGATTTTCAGGTTAAACGGCCCGAGCTTGCGAGCTTTACGGCTCTACCCTCGTACATACATGCACACGTGCGCTTCCGCGATGTATGTGTACACACGACGGCGCGAACTTCGGGGCGTTTTTTTATTTTTTTTTATTTTTTTTTTAATTTTTGTTTATGTACACCCACAGCGATGATTGTACCTCCCTTGCGACGATGACCCGGGGGGTTGGGAGCCACGAGAGCCCGTGTGTGTGTGTGAAGAGGGGGTGGTAACTTTGAGGGGTGAAAGTGGCTGATGCGCGCGTCACGGCGGTTCGCGCGCGACTGAGGCCAGCCAGCCAGCCACGGGCTACCTATAATGGCCCCAGCGGAGCCCCAGAGAGACGCTCGCTCGCGCCGGGGAGTTGCTATACATACATATATATATACGCCAGACCATACATTTATGTACACACACACACCCACATGAATAGGATGGGAGGAGGAGAGTGGAAAGCCCGCTCCCCTCCTGTTATCCCCTTGCAGTGTATACATATACATATATGTATATGTATATCTATATATGCGATTTGCGATGCATGTTAACCATCGTTATATCATGTATAGGTATACTAATACGAGCCTATAGGTGCATATGCATATAAAAGTGTAAATACTTACGTATATCAATATAGCGAGTGAGCGAAAACGAAACCGAAACTCACTCTCTTCCTAGCAAGTGTGCATTCGCTATTATACATGTAGGCGCTCTCGATCTCTTCGCGCTCTCTCTCTCTTTTTTCTCGTCTGTGCAGTTTATATATATATATATATACCCATGCGTACGCGCTTTTGAGGACGATTATTTTACCAAGAGAGTTGATGCCTTGTCTCCGTCTCTCGGTTATTGGGCCATTTTATGTAGGCCACGACAATTTTTATCATTCAATTTGATAATCTTGCGGTCCCTGCATCGGAAGTGATGATTCAGAACGACCAACTGTACGGACGATTGGGCTGGCCTACATATATATTTGGACCAATGAGGCCACAATCACGTGTAATGACGATCTATTTGAAGGAGTCGGGCGAAAAATGGTCACTATCACTAAGGGTAAACACTTTTTTTTTTTCCCCTCCAAATGGCCCGTGTAACGGCGTTTGGATGTACATTGTACTGGGAGGGTCCATTAACAAGTTAAAACTCTTTTATTTGGCCGACAGTGTGATTGTATACGAGAGGGATTGCGTTCCGTGTACGACAAGCAGAGATTGTCAAACGCGATTGATACGGCCGGTCGGTCTGATCAATGAAACTCGCGGCCCTGTAATGTGCTGCTGTGTTTTGTGTACACGAACTCGAGCGTTGATATGTTACACGAGCCGGTGATCGTAAACACATGCATTACGATATTACTGGTAACAAGAAGCTGGGATATCGGGTATGGACATGTGGATCAATTTGTAGGAAAAATTTTCGATTTTTAAAGTTTTTTTTTTTTTTTTTTTCACCTCCACGATTTTTGTAGTGAACACTTTGTTAAAGAGTGTCCATTTCTTACGGTTTTTTGCGAAATTGAATCACTGACAATACCACCAATTTGTTAAAGACTCTTTTCGCCTGTAGTATGGCTGGGACCTGAATTGGGAAGGAAATTCAATGATCCTACGCTTTGTCAATTGGCCACGTAACGTAGTACAGCCCAGCGGGTCAAATAGACACTTTGTGATGAAATTAATTAAAAACTCATGCACTTTGAAAATCATTGTGCACTATCTACATCTCCATGAGAGCACGCGCTCAACGCGATTGACACTCGCTCGCATACTTTCCCCATATAATCCGTCAAACAGCGAACACATTGTATGATATTTTATATCCATACGGCCATTGTAATAATATATACCTGCGAGACTTTCATTATCCTCGAGAGCAGAAAAGCAAAAGCTTAAAAATACGCACACCTGCGTATTATATACCTGTACCTATACGTGTCAAGTGACAACAAAGGAAAAACAACGCACCCCCATGAGGAATTCGACGACCCAATATTATACCTATCGGCTGAAACTTTCACCGATCGCGTTTTACAAAAATAAAATGCCGCGCGTACCGTGTACGTATATATATGTATACACTTAAGTACAGGTACTTACTACTTAACGATTCGTTAATTCGCGACCGCAGCATACCGGAGCGGCTCTACGCGCATAATAGAAATCCTAAAAAATTTAGGGGGAGGGAGATGATGGAAAAAAGAAAATCTCGGAAGCTCGAAAATATTTTACCGGCTCGCGGGCAAGGAATCTATGTGTGAACAGCATGCCAGTGTATCATTACGCCACGCGTGTCAGTGAATGGGGAGCGTAATGCGAATAGTTTTGGATACGAAAGTCAGGAAAAAAGAGGATGAGAGAAGGATTGAATCGGAGTACACACGCGAATGTTCTAAGCTAATTATTTTTTTTTCTGATGTCTGGTACATATTACATTTATATATTTGCTTGTGATTCGTTGATTTTTACATGTCGAAAGTTACGATAGACTTAACTGTGAACGGTAATAATTGTCGGTTTTCGTGTTGGGGAGAAAGTTGTGGTTTTCATCTCTCGAAAATAATTATCTCACCCTATTCGGACTTTGGGTTGATTATTGTATGCTTTATGGATTTTTAAAATGCCTTAAAAGGCAATATCTTCCGTCTTTTTTCACCATTCGTAGTTTCATACCGAGAAATTTTTTTTTATTTCTGGCAGATAATGAAATGTTTTTTTCTTAACTAGTTTTTCTTTTGAAATTTTAACGCATTATTTTTGCTGGAAAATTGTTTGTTTAGCATTACGTTAAAAGTAGTAAAGTACAATTTATGCATTTTATTTTTAGCAAAAAATTATACTTAAACAAAAATGTCTGTCCCTATCATATTTTTTACCGTAAATTTATTAGAAATTTATTTATGTTTCCTTTTGAAAACTTCTGACCCATGAAACATCGATCCTCATCATCATCGCTCATCCCCGTGCATAGGAAGAAAAATACAATAAAAATTACTGTGCTGGAATGATAATCTGGTGTCATTCCGCCGCCTATAGGGACTTTTTACTTTGGCCATTCTAATTTTTACCGTATATTGGACAGTAATTTCTATTTTACAAACAGTGACAATCACTGTACTTATTACAAAAACTACTGTTCCAAACATTAAAAATCATTGTTGAAATAGTAAAAAGTCTCTTGACGACCGAACAGCACCAGATTACCATAAATTCTAGTACATTAATTTTTACCATTTTTTTCTCTCTGTGTCTTGATATAGCATGTGCATTTCTCTCACAATGAAATAAAACAAACGATTTGGCCATATGACGCTGCCACCACCATATGTTTAGCTTCGTTTGTGAAATTATTCAACCGATGTGCTTGTGTCGCATTTTTTGTCAAGACGAAAACGAAGCCAGCTTTCTAATTCTCCAAACGTACATTACGTGCCACTAGTTTGAGGAGAAATTCAAAATATCTGTAAGTATGCAATTACTCGCGTGGTACAAGAGACACATGTTATAGTGGAGCTACCTTTTCGATCTCTATAATTTTGGAAACACGCCCTCTATTCCTTTGCGTTTTGCACAACCAACTGATTGTGTTGCTGTCCGTTTTTATTCCTTTACTTTATTTTTTAAGTAAGTTTACAATTTTTGGGTGAGGCATTGAACGGTTTGTGTTACAATTAATAACGACAGGAATAGTAAGGAGTATCTACAACACATTAAAAAGATTTTTAAACCATAACATTTTGAGCCTTGTATAGCGTACGTAAAAGTCATAGAGTTATAAGGTGTACCGTAAATAATCGCCCAAATTACCGACCATGGTTGCAACTCTCTTGCGCAATATTGGATCATCCGTGCGGGAGTACAGAGAAGAAAGAAGCAAAAAGGGTGCATTAACGTGGCTTATCTCGCTTGCTCATCTGAATAATATGCATGTGAGTGCCATTTACATTAATGTACAGGGAGTATATGAAAATAAAGGACTGCAAGTGTGTCGTTGGCCACTGCATGTGCGTGGTCTTGTTTTATGAGTGAACGCAAAACAATGTCTAAATATTATCACTACCGATAGTAAAATCAATAGTAACATGTTTTATACTTGATGGTGTCAATAGTGAGACATATAAAAAAGGGAAGTCCGCCAGGGCCTGTTTTGTTTTTTCAAGGATACCAATAATTTTTGATAAAATAAAGCGAGTATCATTTAACCATCGATTTTCTGTAAATCTGAGGAATAATCGAACCTCACTAGCAGCATTTTACTCATCAGACGGTTAAATGATAACGTTTTCTTTGAAAAC